TCGAAAATAGTACGTTTTTGGACTTAAAAAAGCAGGATCCGATAGTTCCGGAGGAACTATCAGGTCTTGCTGTACGCATCAAAATCTTCAAGGTCCAATTTGTCCCGCATCAATCTACAGACCTACCACCGTTCCAGTATTGAAGCCTAGCAAAATGTTTGTATCGACTTTATTTATTTTAGAAAGAAAAACAAAAGTGGAGAATACGATTCGCTAACCCCCGTGAAATTCTGAATCCAACGGTACCCCATTCATGGTATTTGAGCATGACAGGAGCTTATATTTGGTACAAAACCGATTTCGAGCCTTACTGTAATAATATATGTGGGGATATATATAATTAAAACTACTATATAATTAATACTGTCATTTGATGTGCTCTTAACACATATTATTAATCTCGCCTTACTGATGTTTTCACTTCTATCGTATGGTCTAAAGCACACGTCATAGTTTTTTTTTTATCCAAATTCGAATTCAATCCTTATTTTATACCGTTAATGCGGTAATTGTATTGACTAAACTACGAAAGGACAGACAGTATCGAAATGAGGGCATTCTTGTAGCAGTTTGCCAAGATTTGAATGGCCTCGAAGTTCTGTTTAAGTTAAATTGACTCGATTAAAGAGGAACAGTTGGAATTCAATTCCCGCCTCGACAGAAGTTTTTTAAGAGCTGCCTGCCACCGCCATATTGTCTTTATCACTTAACTTTATAATTAACTAAAATTCGATTTATTCAATACCAATAATTGAAATATTAAAACTAAAACGATTAATATAATCTATTGTTTGTTTGGTGCGAATGGAGAATTGAAGAACAAACAAAAAAAAAATGTTGTATATAATCGACTTATATAGAGTCTTAATATTTAGTAATAACTGATTCCCGTTTCGGTAAATGCGGAGGGTCATGAAATAAACATTATGAATTCAATAAATATGAGTACTTATATTAATATTGTCTAGGTTTAGGCACATACCTAATAGCTATATTATGTTATGACTACGGTATACGGTACTATGGTATACTTTAGTACTCAGTTCCCTTAAGTGTGAAAAAATGTCTTATTTATCAACAAAAAAAATAGCTGCTATATTAGGTAGCGATACGTTTGGCAACACTAATTGATAAATAAAATCTCTCTCTCCCTCACTCCCTCTCTCTCATTCATAGACACACACACAAACACTCCTCCTCCTTTTCCCTCTTCCCCCCTCCCTCCAAAGTTGATTTTATTTTATATACTTTTTCATTATTATTTAGTTGTTATTTTCTTCTGTTTGATTTATATTTTGTATATATATAGTGTAAATGTAGTCTTACCTCACTATAATTATTGTCCATATAATAGAATATGATATTACTCAATAAAAAAACGCTGCAAATTATTTCACAATGGTTTATTATTTCCAAACAATTATACATCTAAAGTAACATTACCTTCCGAGTTACAAAGAAAAAAAACAAAAGGTGATTCCAATTATTGGACTAAACTTTTTTCTTTAATCATTAGTAATATGCTAAAAAAAAATAGCATTAGCTTCAGTAACACATTCAAAATTTAAAAACCAAACCAAGGATATAACATTTGGAGTAGAACATATTAAAAAAACCGGAGACCATATCTTTGCTCCTAATTGTCCGATTTTAACGATTTTTTTTTTTTTTAGGAAATTTCGTAAACTTTTAAAAATACTTCATTTTAAAAAAACACATCACAATATCCCCCAAAAAGTGTATACTTTTCGAGTTATTCGGAATTTAATTTTACCATCCCTCGTAACTTTTTTTCCAGCTTCTTTTCGTTGAAGTATGTTATATAGATGAATTTAAAGGGCGTCAAGAAAATGACTTTAGCGAAGTTTCATTGAAATCTGTACATTCGTTTAGGCGCTACAGTCTATAGCAACGCAGGTTTTTCGGCCGCCATTTTGAAAGTAAAAGGCGGAGAATAATGTCGATGAAGGAGGATCATCCTCGGGTGACCTCTGATTTTATATCAAAATTTGAATTAAATTGGAGAAAATGCGCGGACGGCAGACGGACAAAAATATTTTTATTCGTTTTTCGAATTCTACGCGTCCTGAAACGTGAAACCTCAAATTTTGAGAGGTGGTTAAGTTTTTGGATTTTTTGTCGATCACAATGGTTGATTATTGAAATAATAAACCAAAAAATCTACAAGAATTTTTAAATGTATTATGAATCAGATCCTAACCTATGTTGTATGAGAAATTTACTAATAATAAACACATTTAAAACAGACAAGAATTTATAAAGATAACTATAATATACACTCTGGATACAACTGTGGTCAAAGAGATGAACCTTCTAGACTTTAAATTTATTTAGCCGAGAGACGTTAGACGGAAGCCAACTGGTACCTTATCCCTCATCCCCCACCAACCATTTCACGGCTATTTATATTGTAATTAATAAATATCGAGTCACCATAACAAATATACAAGCTTATAAGTCAGTTATATTCACCTCCTAAATATTTATCTCCTAAAATAAGACCAAATAGTCCAAAACATGAAAGGCTCCAACGAATCGAATTATTTAATCGAAAGTCTTTTTTGAAACCGACAGCTTTTGATAAAGAAGTATAATAAATTTCAAAGCATAACAAAAAAGTTTATTAAGGTCAGCGTAGTTCCATCATCATTGTTAATAAATAAAGATTTTGTTCGTTTTTATTGATTATTTATTAAGTAATATAACATTCTGCCACATAGACAATAATTAAAGTAAGAAATAAGACAACATTCACATTATATAACATAAAAATATAAATATACAGAACCAAAATAAGGACTAAATAATAATCAAAAGGTACATAAAATAAACAAAAATAAAATAACTTAAAGATATATAAATTTAAAAAAAAAATACAGACAGAACTATAAACATTATTTACGGAGATTTAAAATCGATAATTAAAAAAAAAATATTTTATGATTTCTATTTTCGCCCAGAAGTGATAAAAATAATACCCTAATCTTTAGTTTGAAAAATTGTTTGTAAACAACTGTTAACGCCGCATACGCTCATTTCTTTATTTATTTAATTATTATTTTTTCACACCATTACCCCTTTTTAGTGAATAGCTGGAATAATATTTATAAATTCTTTTGTAACAGGCCGAGCGATATTTCCCAAAGATGTATTTTGGTGTCGCACTGTTATAGATTATAGTTTATTCTTTGGAAGTAATATCGTTATTTTGTAATACACACCAGACCGGCAGTACTACTTATTCTTAGGATTTAAGACACAAATACTGGCGAAGTCCTCAGTGTGAATAGCTCTTGCCGACATTAGACCCATGTAGGGAAGTCTACCCCCACCAATCTCACTAAGCCCAGGCCGTCTAATCTCGCTAACACATCACCAACGCCATTTGTGAAGATCACTGTAGGCGCAGCTGAGTAATCGATACATATCGATACGATCCACCATCGATTACTTGACAGCTGGAGATCGGAAGGTAAAACAGGTGGAGCAGAACCTCCAACTGGCTTGTTGTGTTTAATTTATTCTCACCAAGACATTTGGAACATTAGTTAACTTGTTTTTCCCTAAATTTGTTTCATTCGTTTGAAAATACTCGTTTTATTTACATTTCAGAAATGATTTTTTTTCTTTATTGATAATGTTATTTTCTATTATTGTCACTGGATGTTGTATTATGTTTTATTTTTCTCGTACTTTTAAGTATTGTCCTATCTCAACTTTTCTATAAAATTTATACTCTTTTCTTTATCAATAAAATTGTAAACATTCAAATAGGATTTTCATTTTTCCATTATTTGGTTTTATTGAATATTTCTATGTTTTAATAGTTTCCCTTTGCATGCATTGTGTTTTTCTCTAATGTTTTTCAGGTCTCATTAATTCACTAATTTTTTTTCTCCTTCTCCCAACGTTTTTAAATGTTTATCGAATTTTCCCATCATCGAGGAAACGCACCGGGGAAAGATCCTGTACTTCGATTTTGAAGTACCCCTGGCGCCAACACAACAATAATTATAATTCTTGACTAATACTATTTTAAATCAGAAAAATAATTTTTTTTAATCTCTATATTTTGAGTTTGGAGCAGTAGGCGGAAAATATTATTGTCAACCATTACCTACAGAACATCGCTTTTTTTAAATTAATGCTCTCTCTCTCACTCTCTCTCTCTCTCTCTCTCTCTAAAAATTAGTTAAATATAAAACATGAAAGAATGTGATAATTAATTAAAGGAGAAATAAGAGATCGTAACGGATAATAGTTGTAATGCAGGAATCAAAGGAATACGAGCGCACCCGAGAGATTACAACAGACTTCCATACGTATATATACAGATGTGATTTTCATAAATGATATCGTTATTATTTAATATTTAATTGTATTGTATTGTACTTTTTTTTTTTTTTTTTTTTTTTTTTTTTTTTTTTTTTTTTATTGTATTGTATTGTATTAATGCACAATTAAATATTAAATAATACCAATGATTCCATTAAATGAGAATAAGTCCTACATTATATTAAAGCCTGCTTAATAATACACTCCTATAGTGAGTTGAATCAAAATTGATGGAGCCGTTTTCTAAAAAATCGTAAAAAAAATGTGTTAAATCGATTGTATAAAGTACCACTTCCGGTTTGCTGATTATAACAAAACGGTTGCTGTTACATTCGAGGCTTATAAAAAACTCAAATATGCAATTTCGCTTTCATACGACTTTTAGTTTTTGAGCTAGACTCATCACATATATACATATACATACACACACAGACATACAGATACAGTCACACTGACCATTTTGCGAGACTTAGTTATTTGGACTCAGGGTACCCCAAAACGTGTGTAAAAATAATAAATTTTTCCATAAAAAAACAAATGTTTGTCACATTCTATACCTACTTTGGTGAAAAATTATTTCTTTAAAAGTAATAATAATATACAAAAAGAAAAAATCTAAAATACTTTATATAATAGCTAAATACCTTGAGATCCCTGTGGACAACCCTCCTATTGTGACAATATTCCACCGCTGAAAGAATCTGCCAAAATTTCCTTCGTGCACCACTTTCAGTCATCCTCCCATGCCTGGCGATGTAGTCTGAAAACATTTTAAAAAATTAGTTTAAATTATTTATATAAATTTCTTAAATGTAATATAAACATTTATATTAATTTTTTATATGTAATATTAATTCCTGATATTGATAGACAGGGTCTCTGTTTGTGGGCGTTGTGACAGAAAACATCTGGTGCGCACAATACACAACTTTCACTTGCCGCTCTACTTTGAATAGAAATTATTTTCTAGCAATGTTGAGATATTATAAAACTTTTTAAGTGCATTTTGAACGATGTTAAAGCTTAAAGCTTACAGATAACAAATCATTAAGAACATTAAAATTACAAAATCTCTATTAATTATATCGACAATAGGCAATGAAAATCTAATTTTATAAACCACACAACTTCAATCTCTGAACCTTTCAGTTGACAGAATGACTAACTCCAATTTCAACATTTTTGAGTAATGACATTTTAGTGATATTTCTAGTTGGAAAAGTTATTTCTATACAGACAGTGAGTAAGTTGATTCAGGAGTAGATGATTGCTGTGTTGAAATATAGAACTGTGAATAAAGGTATATATTTTTCCACTTGATGCATCACTAAAGTTAATAATAAAGAATGTTGAAATTGGAGTTAGTCATTCACTCAACCGAAAGGCTCATATATTTCTAGAGAGATTTGAAAGTATATCTGAATATTTAACATATAAATGATTAAGGATTGTAGGACTATTAGTTAGTTATTAAACTGTCATTTTCCATTGTAAAGTTTACAAAAACAAAATTGAGAGATTTTCATTGCCTTACCTTGGATAGGTTAAAACTTGCCACACTAATTGTAAGTGGATAATGTTGGGCTTTCACAAACGGAAAATTCATCAAATTATTCACTAATGTAATTTTCTAAAAGGTAACTTGATGAATTTTTTGGAATAAACAAACAATAGATACCTAATTATTTAAATATAATATCTTATATAGAGTTATTAAACTACAGTAAATCTAATTAAGGTTATAAACATATCCATGAAATAGTATTTTAAACACTGACATTGGGTCGATTCGGTGGATTTTAAATACCTTTTCAAACATAAAAAAAAAAAAAAAAAAAATTAAGTTTACATTTAGTAAGAAAATTTCATTTAATTTCCTTGGAAACATGTGATTTATGTCAAATAATGTTAGTTTTCTGAAATTGTTATTTATATTTTTTTCGTCAATCTCCTTTATCTACTACAACTTTATTTATTTGATATTATTTTTTTCTAAAGTTCTCAGCTTTCATACCTTCTGACTGTTTATTTTTTTCTACAGTTTCCAATGATTACATTCTTTTAAACTTCATATTTAAATATTCATATTTTAACGTTTTCGAGAAAAATGGCTACCACCGATGATATAAAGTGGCACTTACGGTTAGCCAATTTTAAGGTAAAACTTGCTGTTACATCTGAGGAATACACAAACTTTAAATAAGTAATATCAGTAATTGTGGGTAAATGGTAGACTGTCGTAAATGATATTTGTTTGTTATTTCTTTTTTCTATTTCTTATTTCAGCCTTCTCAGTTTTTTTCCTCCATCCTTTCATTCATTTCTCTGTTTTAATCCTTTATTATATTATACGTTATCTTTACATTTTGATAGACTTTACAATATCTTAATTTTCTATTTAACTATTCTATTTGCAATATTTTAATTTTACTATTTATTTTCATTTCTTATATAACTTCATATTCCTTTTTTCTGTTTTACATTTTATTCTAAAATTCCCATTTTAATACTTATGTCACCTTTTTTGATTACGTTTACTTCATCATTCCACACTTTGTAACGGTTATTATTATTTATCTCTTAGTTCTTACTATTGTCATTATCCTACCAACTTCATTTTACTTTAACTTTTTTTTACCTACATTACTCATGTTTCTCATACCTTGTTATCTGGTTCTTTTCTTAGCCCTGATGAAGGCCTAACTTCAAGTCGAAACGTCGGATAATGTCAAAATAAATATTATCATTTATTTTTGCCTTCTTATTTGACTAATAACCCCAACTATTCTTCGCTTCATCATTCATTAATATCAGTTTCGTACGATTTATTGAGCTAGACTGTCCACATACACACACACCATTTTTCGAGGGTTATTTGGACTCAGGGGACCTCAAGAGATGTGTTTCCGTTGAAAACTCTGACTAGAAAATTTTCACGATCGCAATACTTTCCCTTAATATGTATTACATATATAGATAAGTGAAAGTAATAAGCATAACTAAAATAATGTGAGAGTTCTCACTACTAGTATATCGTAGTGTTAATATGATTTCTATGATTAATTATACGATTAGAGAGATGGACGCTACTAAAGATGTGAGTAGCCATTATAGCGGGCCACTAACTACAATTAACTGTGACTTGCTCGCCAATGGAGCCAATCACGGCTAACTCGCTTAAGTGGCAGTTCCTCTCTCCTCCGAGGGGAGTGCGCCACGTGGAGGATCACGAGGAGGCGGTGGCTACCAACGGATATCAGGATCACAAATATAACAAGAGTATCTAGAGGCAAGTCTTGCCTTTAATTAGGGTCAACTATGCCCATTGTTGGATGAGTAGAAGAGATACAGAAACAATATTCATATAAAACAATTGCCCTATTTCCTAAAGAAAAGTAAGAAATATAAGATTGTGGGTTAATGGTTGACTGTCGTAATAATTAAGAGAAGGATTTCTCTTTTTTTCCTCCTTCCTTTTTTTCCTTTTCTCTGCTTTAACTCTTTATTCAGTCGTAAACCAACGACTTCCTGTCCTACAGTTTCCTTTAACAATACTCCACTTATCCCTGTTGAGCGAATCCGATACCTAGGACTCCACCTGGACAAACGACTAACTTGGAATCCTCATACTAGACTGAAACGACAAGAAACCGCTCGACGTTTCCGATTACTTCAGCACTTATTAGACAAACGCTCTAAACTTCTCATTAATTACAAAAGACTTATATACTTGACTATAATAAGACCTATTTGGACTTACGGAGTTGAGCTATGGGGCTCCACTAAACCATCGAATTCCTCTCGCATCCAATCCTTACAATCCAAAATCCTTCGTAAAATCCTCAATGCTCCTTACTTTGTCAATAATAAAATTATCCATAAAGATCTTAATATTCCTTATGTTTCAGATCTGGCCCAATCCAGATACCTATCCTTCCATAATAAACTTCAGAATCATCCAAACCCTCTCGTTTCTAACCTTGCTTCCTCTTCAATTCCTGATAACCCTCCGAGGCGTCTGAAAAGAAGATGGCCCCGTGATCTCCTAATGTAGTCATATCATTAGAGTGCTACCATTGGGTAGTTACTCAGCAAGTGTATTCATGTCATTATATCAATTATGTCGAAATTTACTTGATGTATTTATCTAATACAGTTGTAAATGTCATAAAGAAATAAAAAAAAAAAAACTCTTTATTCTGTTATAGGTTGTCAGTAAATTTTGATAAACTTTACAATCTCAATTTTCTACCTAACTATTCTATTTCAATATCTTAATTTTACAATTTTTTTCATTTCTTATATAACTTCATATTCTTTTTTTCTGTTTTACGTTTTGTTCTAAGATTACGATTTTAATACTTATGTCGCCTTTTTTGATTATGTTTCCTTCATAAAACGGTGATTATATTTATGTTTTTTTTTTAATATCCTAGAAAACAAAATTAAAAAAATAAAATTGTTACCGTAATTTAAAAAAAATATTTGTATAGAGAATAAGACTGCTTCCCTTTTATGAGAAGAAAAATAATCTTGTTGTTTTCTACGACATTAATGGCTTGATGAAATCTTTGAATTTGAAACATGATCCAACTTAATGGAGGCTATACATAGACTCCTCCAGGCTTCGATTGAAAGCTGTCTTTCAACTTCACAATGTCTTCTTTCTTCTTTTTCTGTTGGTCATGGAGTTCACATGAAGGAGGCATATACCACATGTATAACAGCCCTCTTGGACTCACTCATATATCTTCTTCGATAGCTCTAAAGCCCGGGGTGGGCCTTGGCTTCCTCAACAACAGTTCTCCAGATGTTCCTGTCCTTAGCCTTTTCCCCCCAGTTCGTAACTCATAACCGCCTGAGGTCGTCTTCCGCATCCTCCAAATACCTTCTTCTAGGCCTTTCCCATCCTCTGACACCTTAAATTCTTCCTTGGAGAATCTTTTTTTGGGAATCCCTCATCTGGCATTCCAAGAACGTGCCCCAACCATTCGATCCGTCGTGATTTTATAAAGCTCACAATTCCACTATCGTTGAAAAAATCATATAGCTCCTTATTGGTTCTAATCCTCCATGCTTGAGTTGTTTCATCGTACAAGGGGCCAAATATTTTTCTCAGGATCTTTTTCTTCTGGAGGATCTTCTGAAGAAATGGACATATACTTGGTTTTTAAATCATTTATTTCAACACCCATAATTTTACATTCAGCATAGATAATATGAAAAATTTCAGACATATGCCGATGACACATGTGTCCTATCAGTAAATAATGACGCATCAATTGCATCCCAAATGCTTCAATCACACATCATGAATCTTGAAGAATGTTGTCAAAACTGGAGAATTAAAATAAACTCCAATAAATCCCACCAAATTACCTTTACCCTTCGTCGTAAACCTATGTCTTCCTGTATCCTTTATGTACAGTCCATATCCTTTAATAATATCCCACTTATCCCTGTTGAAGAAATCCGCAACCTAGTACTCCACTTAGACAAACGTCTAACTTGGAATCCTCATACCAGACTGAAACGACAAGAAACCGCTCGACGTTTCCTACTACTCCAGCACTTACTAGACAAACGCTCTAAACTCCCAGTGAATTACAAAAGACTCATATATATGACTATAATAAGGCCTATTTGGACTAACGGAGTTGAGCTATGGGGCTCCACTAAACCATCGAATTCCTCTGGTATCCAATCCTTAAATCCAAAATCCTTCGTAAAATCCTCAATGCTCCCTACTTTGTTACAAAT